CCCAAAACAAGCTAACCAGGGCCACGACAGAGGACTTTTTTCTTTTCTTTTATTTTATTTTTAAGAGACAGGGTCTCCAGTGCAGTGGCATGATCATAGCTCACTGCAGCCTTGAACTCATGGGCTCAAGCAGTTCTCCTGCCTCAGCCTCTGGAGTAGCTAGAATTACATGAGCCACTGCACCTAGCTTACAGAGAACTTTTAAAGATTAGCAGATCTTTCTAAGGAGAGCAGCCCATTAGGCTGTATGACATGGGTATTCAATTGCATTCTGGCAGGGGCCAGACTCCATGACCTGCTTTAGTACTTTCTGCCTTGGAGATGATTCTCTTTGCCAATTATCCTGGACTAGTTTTCCATGAATCCACAAGACTCTGATTATATGAGCTTGTATGCAAAGAGATACATGCAAGGGAGGTTCTAGGAGCATTTGGGATAACCCTGTGAGTCATCCTGGCACTTGCACCAGTCATCTGACTTCTCCATGCCTTGCCTTCCCAGCCTATACGATGGGTGGGGCACAACCCACCCACCTGTCATAGAAAAGGTGTCTCTCACCAGGTATGTTAGCGTTGCTTACAGATGTCAAACCCATTAGTGAGAGCTTGAATACAGCAGGAAGTGAGCCAATCAGAGCTCCCAGATGGCATGAGACGCACAGATTAGCTAATGGCAGGACGGCACTGACCATGTGGAGGAAGGAGGTCAGCATGGGCTGTGCTGTCAATGTAAAGCATTCGCATTTATTCATTCACTCATTCATTTGTTTAGTCAGTGTTTCCCAGGTCCTATGATGATATACAGTGACTATATCCACAGCTACCAATTCTTGAAAATCATAGTCTCGTGGGAACAACTTCATGGAAAGCTGGGTTGTGGAAGTATACATTTCCCTTGTAGAACAGGATCCTACAACTACAGAATATCATAGCCAGAAGGGGCCTCATCTAGCCTCTTTGCTTTAGACTGGAAGAGAAAAGGCCTAGAGACAGCAGGGCACTGTGGAATCACAGGGTGAGGCAGTGGCAGAATCAGGATGAGAGTCTAGGTCTTTCTGTTTGTGCCTCGAAATGACTGTCTCCAGTTTTGTTGGCACATCTTAAAATGGGTGGTCTTCTGGGGTATTTTCCTCTCTGTAAAGTTAGACTGTCCCAGCCTATAAATAATGCAGAAGGCTTCTTAATGACTGCTTCTATGTTGGGTGACTGAAAGGTATGGTTCCTGAAGCATCATGGATTGGAACACCAGATGCAGCATGTTTTGGTACAAAAACAAAATTTGAAGTCTCTCTTACCTAGGCTCAAATTCTGGCTCTACCACTTCTAACTGTGTGAGCTGGAGCAAGCTATTTTTTGTTTGAGACACTATTGTGAGAACCAGATTTCATGAGCTCTCCCGTGTGGTGTTTGACCCCAGTACAAGATTGTTCCTTTTCCTTTTACTCCACAAAACATCCGATCTGGGTATGCTCTGATGTGGGACACTTAGGAGAGCCGAAGTGGAATGGCCTGGACCCACATTCCACCTCATTTACCCGTACCCTTGGTGAGAGGGACTGGTGGGCTTCATAGCAGAAGCTGTGCAGTATGACAAGCCCCCAGAGACAGGATGACAGGAGGAAGCAAGGCACCATGACTGAGGACACCAAGCCAGGACACCAAGCCTGGGGCAGAGGCTTCCATCTTGCTTCTTCTGAACTGTTCAGGAGCAGAGAGACATCACACTATCTGACATTAAAATATACTACAAAGCTATAGTAACCCAAACAGCATGGTACTGGCATAAAAACAGATGCCTAGACCAATGAAAGAGAATAGAGAACCCAGAAATTAATCCATATATTTGGTATCAACTGATCTTTGACAAAGGTGCCAAGAACACACAATAGGGAAAGGAAAGTCTCTTGAATAAGTGGTACTGAAAAAACTGGGTATTCTCATGAAGAAGAATGAAATGCTTATCTCACACTATACAAAAATCAACTGAAAATAAATTAAAAATGTAAATTTAAGATTTGAAACTATGAAACTACTAGGAAAAAAAAAAAACAGGAGAAAAGCTCCATAACATTGGTCAGGCAGTCATGTCTTTTTGAATTTGACTTCAAAAACATGGACAGCAAAAGCAAAAATAGACAAATAAGATTATATCAAGTTAAAATGCTTCTGTACAGAAAAGGAAACAAACAATGGAGTGAAGAGACAACCAACAAAATGAGAAAACATTTGGAAACTATACTCCTGAAAAGGAGTTAATATCCAAAAGGTATGAGGAACTCAACTCAGTAGAAAGAACAAAAATAACACAATTTAAAAATGGGCAGAGGATCTGAATATACATTTCTCAAAAGAAGACATGCAAATGACCAACATGTCTAGGAAAAATGCTCATTATTACTAATCATCAGGGAAATGCAAATCAAAACCACAACTCTCATCCTGCTTCTGCCACTGCCTCACTCTGATTCCTCTCGGCCTTTTCTCTTTCAATCTAAAGCAGAGGCTAGATGAGGCTCCTTCTGGCTATCATATTCTGTAGTTGTAGGAGCCTGTAAGAATGGCTATTATCAAAAAGACAAACAAATGAAAATGAGGACAAAGATGTAGAGAAACAGGAACTTAGTGAGGCCATATGGAAAACAGTATGGAGGTGTCTCAAGAAAATGCAAACCACATTAGGCAGCAATCCCACTACTGGGTATTTGCCTAAAGGAAAGAAAATTAGTATATTAAAGGGATAACTGTAGCCCCACGTTTATTGCAGTGTTCTTTACAATAAATAGAAAAGATATAGAGTCAACCTTAGTGTCCATCAGGGAATAAATAAGGAAAATGGGTTATGAACACGCGATGGAATACTATCCAGCCATAGAAAGCAGTGGAATCCTGTCATTTCCAGCAACATGGATGGAACTGGAGGTCAGTATGTTAAATGAAATTAGAAAGACAAAAGATAACGTGTAGGCAAGGATGTGGAGAAAATAAGAGCTAGCACACCACTGGTGGGAATGCAAATTAGTACAGCCATGTGGAAAGCAGTATGGAAGGTTTCAAAAAATTAAAAATAGCACTGGCATATAATCCAGCAATCACACCAGTAGGCATCTATCCAAAGAAATTGAAATCAGTAATGTTGAAGAGTCACCTGCATTCCCACGTTTATTGCAGTACTATTCACAATACCCCATATAAGAAATCGAACTAAGTGTAAATTTTTTAAAAAATGGATGTTTTAAAATGCTATATATACACACAAGGAATACTATTCAGTAACAAAAACAAGAAAATTCTGTGCTTTGTGAGAAGGTGAATGAACCTGAAGCAAAATAAGCCAAGCATAGATACAGATACTGCATGATTTCATTATATGTGGAATCTAAAAATGTTGGTCTCGTAGAAATAGAGAGCAGAGTGCTGATTACTAGAGGCTGGGGTGGCCGACAGGTGGGGTTGAGGAGATTTTTAAACATGTTCAGGGGAAGATTCTGTGAGACCTGGCTTGGCGTGGGGGAGGGTCTGTGAATTAGCGGGTCTTTGCATCCTCTTTGTTTAGGAAATGTAGAAGCCTTAAAGCTTATGGGTCCTGAGAAATGTGGGGATCTATTATGTATAATACGGTAGTACCATTTACCTGAGACTCCATAGGGGCCACTGTGGAACCTGCTCTGGCTTATGTAAGGAATTGACATTTGGACCAGTGTTACGCTTACATTCAAGACAACCTTCTTCAGGGAGACCCAATACAGCTCAGTGGGAGTAGCGTGGGGTCTGAAGCTGGATAGGTTTGGGTTCCAACGTCACTCCATTACCTACCGATGGGATGATCTTGGCAAAATAGACCTTCGAATCTCAGTTTCCTTTATGTAAAACTGGGGCTAATGAAGCTATCTTGTAGGGTTATTTCAAAATGGAATGAAATAACGCAGGCAAAGAGCCTAGAACAGTGTTCCCCACATAGTAAGTGCTCAGTGATAAGGTCCCCACCTCTCTCTCTACATCTTCTGCATTGCAGAAAAGAAAAGAAGCAGGGATTCAAGGACAATGCTATGTTCAGAAATAAAAGGCAACATGCTGTAGTGAAGAAGATTGTGACCTCTGAAAGCAGACTGCCTGCATCTGAAGCCTGCTTCCTTATTTACCTGCTTTGTGATGGGAGGTCACTCCCTTCATCCTTCAGGGCCTCAGTTGTGTCCATCTGTAAATGTACTGACTCATGAATTGCTTGGTACATACAAAGTGTTCAAATAAACTTTACATTCTATTATTATGATTATTGCTATCACGCGGAATTCATCTGACGGGAATTTTCCCTGCTCGGGATTCTTTGGAATTGAAACCCGGTAGTGAGGTCCTAAAGGTTAGACTAGGGGGACCTAGGGGCGTGAGAAGGCGGAAGCGAGGCCGTCTAGTCCCCAGCCTGGAGTCTGAGATCATCAAGCACCCACCCAGTTTCCAAACGAACCTAGAGAAACCTGATGTTTCATGAAACAAACCAATTATTTGGGGTCCTGCTGTCATATTGGGCCAGAGACCACCGGGCCAGACTCTGCTCAGCAACCTAGATCAGCAGAAGCCACCATGGAAGCCTGCAGAAAGAATGCTCAGGCTGAGCGAAGTGAAGTGAATCTACACTAGCTTTCGGCACAGTGTATGAAAAATTGAGAATCTATGACTTGGATAAGTCCTTGAAGACTCCAGTGACCTAGAAACAGCTTCGTTAGAGACAGATCACATCGACATCACTCTTAACTTCTAGGAAAAGGAGACGGACTTGTTTCCTGAAGAAGGGAACAGGAATAATTTAGCTAGTGTTTGGGAAAACCCAGTATCAAGCTCAAACATGCCCTGCCTCTGACGAGGAGCCAGGCACACTGGGGAGGAATCCTGCCAATGCAACACCAGCCCTCCTCCTTGTGATCTCTGGTGCTTCATTTGGATGCCATTAAATTGCCTCATCGCTGCCCTATAAAAGGTCTCCCCACCTGCCAGTTTTTCAGATCACTGGCTTCTTCCAGTCTTGCTCTTATCAGCAAAGAGGGTAAGTCTCTAAACTGGATCAGTACATGGCGAGAAAAACAGAGCCTTGGTGAGCTGGGGTGAAATGAGAGCTGTGGGATGAAGGGTGAGTGAGGACTCGATGCTGAGGAAATCTGCTGAAGGCAATGCTGGTGGGAAACCTGGAGCCTGGGGTGTGAGAGGAGAGGGAGAGGGGCAAGCTGAGCTGATAATCCTGTGTGAGAAGAAACTTTGGAGAACTGGCTCCCCATCCCCTTATCTGAGTGTAGTTGTGCAGTCCTCTCTTGAGTCCATGTGCTAATGAGGCCAGGTGATAGTCCAGCTGGTTTGAGGAGCACACGGTGGAAACCCGCTCAAATTTAGCCTTGTTCTTTGCTCCCTACTGGGCACAGCTTAGGCTCATGTTAGCTCATGGTCCATTGACGTAAAAGCCTTTCCTGGGTACTCCTTGTCTGGGTGGGAGGAAAAAGGGAAGTCATCCTGGAGAGAATCTGTGGCAGGAGGCAATCATCTGGGAGTAGCAATTTCCAAAGGGGAATCTACAATGCAGACACTGAAGTAAGACAAAAGGAGGCTTGGAAAGCTGGATAGAAACACAGACAGCATCATTTCAAGCCTCCATTTCCCATCGTGGAGACAGAACTAGAGGTGAGTGGTGACTTGTACCAGGCCACATAGTCAGGGACAGGTGCAGGAGCTGAGCCCAGAGTCCCTGGCTCTGAATCCACCTCCTGCCAACTGTACCGCCTCTGGATGTCTGAGACCGTCTCAAGAAAGCCCTACTTGCAAATCACTGTGTCCAAAGGGGATGTTGAAGGTCTCCCTGGAAACCCTCCTAGTTTTACAGTGCTGATGAAATCTTTCTTTTCAGATTTTGCAAAGCCACAGGACAATGTGTGACCAGCAGAAGCAGCCACAGTTCCCTCCATCTTGTGTGAAAGGTTCGGGACTGGGGGCTGGACAGGGTACCAATGGTGCCTCTGTGAAATGCCCAGCTCCATGCCCCACGCAAACCTACGTGAAGTGCGCAGCTCCATGTCCCACTCAAACCTATGTGAAGTGCCAAGTTCCATGCCAGACTCAAACCTACGTGAAGTGCCCAGCTCCCTGCCAGACAACCTATGTGAAATGTCCAACTCCCTGCCAAACCTACGTGAAGTGCCCAGCTCCCTGCCAGACAACCTATGTGAAATGTCCAACTCCCTGCCAAACCTACGTGAAGTGCCCAGCTCCCTGCCAAACTTCTGTCAAGTGCCCAGCTCCCTGCCAGACAACCTACGTCAAATGTCCAGCTCCCTGCCAGACCCAGACGTTCTATGTCCAGCGTGCTTCTCCTTGTCAGACTTACTATGTTCAAGCTCCTCCAAGTGGCCCGACCTCTGGGTACTGTGTCCCTGATCCATGCTCTGCTCCCTGTTCCACCAGCTACTGCTGTCTGGCTCCCCGGACCTTCGGGGTGAGTCCCCTGAGACGCTGGATTCAGCGACCCCAGGACTGCAACCCAGGATCGTCTGGCTGCTGTGAGAATTCGGGAAGCTCTGGAGGCTGCGGTTCTGGGGGCTGTGGCTGCGGCTGTGGATGTGGTAGCTCTGGATGCTGTGGCTCCGGGTGCTGCTGTTTGGGAATTATTCCCATGAGGTCCCGAGGTCCTGCCTGCTGTGACCATGAGGATGACTGCTGCTGCTAAACACACACCAGTCCAACTCCAGAATGCACTGCCTGCCGCCATCCCTTCTGGAATGCGCACCTGCTTCTGACACCCTCTCTGTCATTGCCAGTGAGGTAGAACCTCGTCACTTTGCCTCTGTGCTTTGCTTCTCTACCAAGGCAGCCTGCCAGAGTTAGTGCAACCCCCAAACTTTGGCAAGAATAAAGCTCTGAATGCAATTCACGGCATGTCTATCTGTCTGTTTGGTCCATATTTACACATTTCTATCAGGCACTCTTCTGCCTCTCTCTTCTTACTCTTAAACAAAGATCTGCAGGAACATGAACAAGCAGTCTGAGCTGGCGAAATCCCAGCCCAGGAGCCCCATGCCTTTTAGAATGCTATAAATAAACTTTCCCCTGCAAGTTGGCAGCATCTGATAATGGAGACTTGGGGGTTGAGGGCTGCCTCTGGGCTGCCCTTTGCTGAGTCTCAGAGAAGGGTTGGCCATGATCAGGCCCTGGTCTTCCTGGGTGTTGAAGGGATTGTGAAATCCTACCTGTTCAGGAGCATCACTGGACCATGTCTCCACGACTGTGCAGAGGGCATTTTCTCATCTGATTGGCTTGCCCTCTTAGAACTATAGGGTGAAGGCCTGAGGGAAGAGGCTAGGACCGCCCTGAAGTTATTAGCTATTCACCAGGTCAGTCCTGGTAGCAAGTGAGCCATCTCCAAAGGAAGGTGAATCTCGTGTGAGGGGCTTCTGAGCCCCCAGGGCAGTTGCTCATCCTCGTTAGCACTTTCTTCTCCATTGCTTAGCTAGCTCCAGAGAATTTGGGGTGGACTTACGTAACTAGAGACTCCAAAATTCAAACATTAAAAAATAGAGGAGTAACAAGCGTTCAGAACAACCCTACAAGGCCCGGTGCATAGGAGACAATATGTTTGGTGATGCGTAAAGGAATGAATGAAAAGGAGCAGGGAATCATGTGTTTATTTCTAAACGATCTTCTGGAGATCAACCCTGGACACTAGCAGAAGGTCGTCTTGACCGCTCTGCCGCCTTTGAATGACTAAACACTTGTTGCTCCACAAACTACCCCATCCCTTCATCCAAACTCCCTGAGCTTGAGCCCAGTCACTGGAAACCCACTCAGGGACGGAACTGCCTCGGCCAGTACCACGCTTTCCTCTTGTCCCACCAAGCGGGTCCTGCAGTATAGGAGGGTGGGTGCGGACGCGCTCTGGGGTCTAGTCTCTTTAGAGAATGGTATCCACAAAGCCCAGCCCAGCACTGCTGTATCAAAAAATATTGCAGGGAATCCTCTTTAAAACCTGTTACGTACTTCTAAAAGTCCCATTTCTGTCCTTTTCAACTCCTCCACATTCCATGGCTGCTCATCAGCCTCTCACTAACTCCCGACCTGCTCCTAACGTGCAGACGTCGTGGCTTCTTTGATCTCCCGCTCTCCTTGCTCACCCTCCTTTCCTCCTCAATCTCACCTGGCTCTGCTCCTGGTTATGTAGATGGTTTCAGTTTTTCTGTCTCCCTTGTTCATGTTTCTATACTTACCCAATCTTAGTGTTCTCTGTTCCACAGGAAGTAACCTAGGAATAAAACCTCCCCTCGTTTCTCCAGCTGTCCTAATGCTCTCTCTAGCCCATTCTATTGGTTTTGTGCGGGAGGGAAGAAAGTAGTTGAAACCAAGAGCTAACCTGACGAAGCTCACCAGACTTCACCTGCCTTTCTTGCTTCCTTGCACTTACCTCTAGTTAATGTTAAAACCTATACAGCAGAAAGTCACATAGCTGAGCAAGTTTCCTCTTAGAGGACATCCGTGACATATCGGTTACCATGCTGATGGCTGCTTACTGTTTTCTAAGAACTTGGTGTTGGCTCTTTTCTAGTTCACCCAAACCACTGACCCTTCAACTGGACCTGGATGAATGCCTGAGAGGTGACCCTTTGATGTCAGAGGGCCAGAAACTCCTCCCTCAGATCATGCTAATGTCACCATTTTCTGAACATGCTCCTTATGAAGAGCCATGAAGCCTGACTATGCATGTGCAGAATGCCACTTACCTCACTGCTCCTTGCCGTGCACCGCACTTCCCAGGCCCTGAACTACCTTCCTCCTCCATCCCATAAATATGTCCCTGAAACCATGTCTTTGGAAACGTGGATTTGCGACCTGTTGGCCGCCCTGGCTTACTGTGCACAGGCAGAACACATATAGTTCAGTATCAGAATTATAAAGGGCAAAGGGCAAAAATATACTTTTCTTTAATAGGGCATATGAGTGGAAGAAAAAGTCAAGAAGCAAACGCCTACACATTAATAAATCTCAACTGATTTCATATCTTAGCCTTTTCTCTTTATTATATAAGATCATAATACATGTTGCTCTGTGACCAGCTGCTTTCATTTAATACGTGAATATTGAACATACATTTTGGTTAGTGCATATCGTCGTATCTTATTTCCTTTTGTTGTTTGGTTTTTAATATTTCCTTAGTGTGGCTGCTCAGTGATTTATCTAACCACCCCCTATGATTGCCCTTTTTGACTTCTCTGTTTCTCTTCTGTTTTTCTCTCTGTCTCTGTTTGTCTCTTATTATTACTATATAAGTTGCTATAAGGCCTTTTTGAAACGTTTTCAAATTTTCTATTGAAATGAAACACACTTCTAGAAAAGTATACAAATTAGAAGGGTGTTACTCAATGAACACATATGTATAACTACCCTCTGGACCCCAGAAAGCTAATGTCATATTGAAAATAAATAAAGTCCCTGATTACCATGAACTAGGAGACCGAATTTGGAAATATGAGACAGATTAGAGCAGAAATAGCTTTATGTAACCCCAAACCTTCGCAGGAGCCCTGATGGTGTGTTATAGGTAGATACGTAGAAAAGACGATGTAAAGAGAAGCATCACCCCAGGGGTCTAGGTCTCCCAGGCATCCAGGTGAGTTCTGAGAGCACTTTCCAGGGACCCCAACATGCAGCAGCGCAACCTTGCTCTTACCCAGCCCAGAGGACATTGAGCAACCTGAGGCCAGTGCTTGAGAAGCCCTCAGTAACCTGGCCAGTGTGAAAGGTCTGTAACAACTTTCTCATCAGACCATCATTCATTCATCTAATAAGTAGTTATTGAACATCTATGTCATTCAAGGCATAATCTCTATTGTTTTGGAGTTTACAGCAGAGAGGGAAAATTAAAAAAATCAAGTAATCCAATAAACAAATGAAAGTTGCATCTAGGACCAGAGTTATAAAGGAAAGGTTTCAAGTACTCTGTAATATGCAAATTTTACATGGTCAGGAAGATGAGAAAAGACATCCCTGAGAAAGTGCAGCTTGACCCCAAGGTTGAGTAGGAGTTAATAACAAAGCAGTGAGGGAAGACTTTTCCATTCAGAAACAAGAGCACAGGCAGGGCTCTGCTGGGGGGGAGGAGTGGGGGAGGAGGGGAGGAGAACAGCAAGTGTAAGGGACTGATAGAGAGCGAGAATTGAAGCAGAAATGGGCAGAAGGGCCTGGGGGCTAAGGGAAGCCTCAGTGGGGCCATCCCAGCAACCATTGCCAGGTCGAAAGCAGGCCATGTGACTTGCGCCTTTTAAAGTTTAATTTTCTCTGCAGAAAAAAAAGAAATACATGCTTTTAGAACATACAAAGGAGAATGTAAGACAATTGCCCAATAGCATTAGTGTACCTGGCTCTCCCCTAGCCCTGCCACGCCTAACTCCCCTCTCTAGGTCTGGTTTTCATGTCTGTAGGACAGCAGCTTGGGCTATAAGATGAGTAGGGCCCCTTTCAGCACCAGCATCAGGTCATCTTTGCCTCCTGGTACAGGGACTTCGAGGTCTCATTATTAAACTGATGAGTTACAAATGTGGCCTTCTTTAAAGACATTTTTTGTTTAACCAAAACTTCTACCATATTCTGTTTTATATAACTTAAAAAAACTTTTTTTTTTTCTTTTTGAGATGGAGTCTCACTGAGTCACCCAGGCAGGAGTGCAGTGGCACGATCTCAGCTCACTGCAGCCTCTGCAACCCGTGTTCAAGCAATTCCCAGCCTCAGCCTCCCGAGTAGCTGGAACTACAGGCATGTGTTACCACCCCCAGCTAATTTTTTGTATTTTTTAGTAGAGACGGGGTTTCATCATGTTGCCCAGAATGGTCTGATCTCCTGACCTCGTGATCTGCCTACCTCCGCCTCCCAAAGTACTGGGATTACAGGCATGAGCCACCTCGCCAGGCCAACTTAAAAAATCTTGATGCACTGTTTCTAATGTAAGTCCCAAATTTCATGGCTCTTGATACCTCTACAATATTATGGAGATTTAACTATAAATGATTTAGAGAGAATGACAAGTCCAAAACATGGAACGAAATCCCTGGGAAACTGGACAGAGATTCCTTGAACAGGCTGAGATGCTGCTATCCTGGGACCTATCATGAATCTGCTTTTCCACATTTTTTCCAGAGTAGAAAAGTCTACTGAGTAGAATCCTAACCCCACTTGCCTGGGTAAGATGGTTTCCATGATGATTTCTCTTACAGGAGAATGCCTCTGCCAAATTTCCCGACCAGTAAGGCTAATACCTGCAGAGAGACTTAGTAATATTTCCCCAAGTTAACAAATAAAATATAGGCATATACATCTAAATTTTTATATCTTGCACAGATATTACACATATATTATGAATGTATGGCCAATATTAGTAAATACCCATAAGAAAAATGACTCAAATCTATTTTTTTCTTGACACCTAAAGGAAAAGACAGAGAATTGCCCTTTATTTATTGAGGGCCTACGGTGTGTGCCGGGCACTGTGTTAGTCACTCTGCACGTGATGTTCTCCTTATCTGAGCAATGGAAAGATGATCTGGATTTGCCAGCGGGTTACGGGAGAAGGCCAGTGCTGTTGTCAGATGTGGAATTGTGAGTCAGTCACATGTATTTCCTGACCCTGTGACTCCAGACAAGTAAGTGGTCTCTGCTCAGAGAGACTGTGTCTGATTAAACTGCCCAAGATAATGCCTGCCGCACAGTAGGTGCGCGATGTGTTAACCCATTTTCCTATTCCTGGTGGGAGGGACTCTGACAGTAAATATGAAAGGCAACTTAGAGGCTAAGAGGGTGACAATCATGTTAGGTGAAAAGGATTAGGGGGATTTTTATGGTTTGGCATTTTTTGTTCTATAGTAAAATGTAATGAGAGAAGGTTTTCAT